GCATAGGGTCGCTATGAGTCACAAACGACTCGACGGCACATAACAACAACAACAACAATGCACCAGGAAACAATTTTTTGTTTTGGTTAACTTCTTTGTCTCTCCTGGCACCCATTTAAGGTTTATATAGTAAAGATTCTGCAGCTACATCTAATCTGCTCATCGAATACATCAAGTCAAGAGGTCATGCCTCTGATGCTTGTCAGATTCTCCACAATTCTATCCTGTATTGCTCTTCAGAGCCATCTATGGGAATTTGAGCAACTGTATTCCAGAAACAAATAGGAAAGTAAGTATGAAGCTCAGGAAGCAGCAGCAGTGGTGCTAAACTAGAAACAGAGATGGATATACCTTGGTTTGGTAATCGCATAGGAAAAGAACTGATTCTTCTATTCTGCTGGTACTAATATCTGTTAAGTATACAAGAAGCCCAATAGGACCACGTTCTCTTTGTCTTCTCCTCATTCTATGTCCCTGGAGGACCATGCAACAAAAGAATTAGTTCAGTTTAAACCTCCAACATGTTCTATTCATTGTCATAATGTTGTTTGTTGTTGGGTGCCATTGAGTAGCCTGTGACTTACAGCAACCCTATGTTCAACAGCTCTGCACCCTGCCCTGTCCTGAGCCAGTCTGACAGATTCTGACACACCTACGCTCATTACCCCAGTTACTGTGTCAATCCATCTTATTTGGGGTCTTACACGCCTGTGCTGTTCCTCCACCCTTCCGAGCATATCTATATATCTATATATTTATCTATAGATATCTATATATCTATAGATAGATATATAGATATATATAGATATATATATCTAAATTTGGTAGCAGAAAGATTCTAACCATAGGCCTTCAGACTGGCAACCCAACTGTCAGTGCAACTCTTAAACAGATCTTTAACGAAAGCAAATTTGCATTTATTCTAAAAGTATCAACATCATCATTTTAAGGGGGGGGTGGAAGTACACCATTTCCCATAGGGCTAAATTCAGCAAGCAAAGAAATCCTTTCTAAAAAGTCCTCTCAAATTCTCTTCCCTTAATGAGTTCTTAGGAGCATCTCTTTCATTTAAATGAAACATAGCTTGCTATCCTCATTTAATCCCCCCTCTCTCTAATTAGATGAGTCTGGAAGGCCTTCTCTCTGTACAGATTAAAAGGCTGCGGGGTGTGTCTTGTTTGTTGTAGCATTTCAGAGTTCTAATCCTCAAAGCACTGTGATTACGGGAAGGATTCTGTGATTTAGACCAGGGAGGCTTCAAGAAAATTTATCTTAGGGAAACATACGAGACGCACAATGAGGAGAATCATATGCATACAGACGTGCAAACACTTGTAAGAGCCTATGCCTGCGCTGCCCCAAGCATTTCCAGCCCATGCTATTGGCCCTGGATCTTGCCACAACCCCGTCCTTACCCAGGTTGGAGGATGCGCGGCCCTCTGCAGCCCGGTCCTTGAGGTTCTCGGCAATGCCCAGCTGCTGCTCATGGTACTGTTTGGCTCTCTCCAAGTCCTGCATGCACCTGGCGGCGTGGCCCAGGCCGGCGTAGGCCCGCATCTCAATGGCTTTCTCCATCAGTTCCTGGGCCAGCTCCAGCACGTAGTTGTGGTAAGACATGGCCTTGTCAAAGTTCCTTCGGTAGTGATAGGCACTGCCCAGGTTGCTGTAGGCCCGGGCCTCCTCTCGCTTGTTGCCCAGCTCCTTGGCGATCTTCAGGTGCTGTTCGTGGCACTGCACAGCATTCTCAAAGTCGCCCATGGCGATGTACACGGCACCCATGTTGCCAAGCTCGCGAGCTTCAGAGAGCTCGTCTTTGGATTGCTTGGCGAGGAGAACACACTGCTTGTGGCTGGCCAGCGCGTTGGGGTAGTCTCCGATGGCCGTGTACACATGGCCCAGACTGCTCAGGGCCGACGAAGCTGCCTGGGGAGAGGGGAGAAGGCAGAGAAATGGAAACACATCAGAGAAACAGCTGGGGTTTGTTTCTGCAGATAAAGATGTTAAGAGTTTGCCTGAATCTGTGCGATCCAATTCTTAATGGTGGTGCTATCAGTGGTCCGCAGAGCTCTGCAGGTCTGATAAAATGCACAGCCAAACAGCAAGTTACTAATGAGAGACAATGGAGAATTAATCAGGAACTTTCACGGGCTAATCTCCCAGAAACAGGTGGTATTGCACGTAACCATCATATTGGTTTAAAGACATGCTGACATTTCAAAGAGCAAGTTACGATATTACATCTCCGTGAACACCTATTAACCTCTGAAGTGTAAGGAAATGCTGGGTCGGGGGAGGAAATCACAATAAACAACTCCATTTCATAGAGGATTAGGGAAATCACAGTACAACGCGCTGTTTGGCTCCTGGCATTCCTGGGCATGTTTCTCTTCTCATCTTTTCGCAAAGCCAATTGGACCCACTGGTGGTAAGGTAGAACTTTTCAAAGTGACTGATAATTTGTGACCGAGGCCTCTTTTCTTTCATATCTTGTTTCCACAGTGTAACTTTATCAGTGCAAGACTTACATTTGAATGAGTTCCAGGGGAAAAGAAAGGGTCAATGGGGCGACCCCCATTAAGCCTCTCTACCTCTTATCATGGATTGACTCAGTGACTGGGGCAATAGGGAGAGGTGCATCAGAGACCATAAGGTTGGCTCAGGATAGGGCAGGGTTCAGAGCTGTTGTACACAGGGTCTCTATGAGTTGCAGGCGACTTGAGGGCACTTAATAACAACAACAATAACAACTACTACTACTACTACTACTATTACTACTACTACTTATCAGGCCCTTTCAAGTTTGCCCCTTTCTTTCCAGAAGAGAGTCCATGGACCCTGCCTCTCTGGGAAGGAGGTGCTGTCTTTCTAGACCCCTCCCACTCCTTACCACTCATCCAGTTCTCTCCCAAAGTAAAATACACAGGCCCTGTCTGGTTGAACTGTTCATGGACACAGCTCTTTGGATGTACAGCAAACCAAAGAAAAATAGCTGATAGCACACGGATGTCAGCACAAGTTCTAGAATCCTAGCGAGCGCACCAAAGGCTGATTCTAACTTTCAGCTTCTAAGTTTTCTGAGGATACAAAAAAGGGGAGTTGCACTGGGTTTTTTTCCTGTTTGTTTGTCCTGCCCTTCTCCGCCTTCATTCTGTGCCTGGAACTACAGCAGGGAAGCCCATTTCTTCTTTTTTACCCTCCTCCTCAGGCCACTAAGATCCTGGCAGAACAAAGGGTGTGCTCTGTCACAGTCAGGTAAACGATTGTCCCCAGGACCCCAAGGCCAGGGAATAATGACAGGGACCAACCCCACCCCCACCTCTCCTGGAATAAGTGTATTTCTGCGTGGTACTCCACAGGCTGTGTGCTTCACAACATTTGTATTAATATTTTATCGACGTGAGTGATTTGCTACCTTATTTCTTCGCCTGTGAACTAGCAGTCCTTGATCAGAATAACTGAAGAATGACCATCTTTTATGGTGCTTGCAAACCATGTACTTTAAGTTGCTGCAGTCCCCCACCCCCACCCCACTTCACAGATATTTTAACAAAAGATGCAGGGAGCAGGGAAAGAGGGAATAAATGCCCAGGAATGTACTGCTTTGGTTTTTCTGCAGGGTGGGAGCAGAAAGCAGTTCTGGGCAGTCATGTGCTTGGGGTCACTCAAATGTGGGTGGAAGCAGCAGTGATGTCCCCCAAGGGCACATCTCCTGGACATGACCTGGCCTCCAATGACCACTAGGTGACTTTGTCGGGACTTCATGCCTTTCTACTATCCCCTCACCTGGTCCCCTTCCCGTCCCTCTACCCACCAGGCCTCTGTAGACTCCAGGCCCCTGTGGATCCTGCTTCCATTGCTATGTCAGCCCTCCTGGGACTTTGTCCCTCCTTCAGCTGTCGAGAACAGACACCCCTACCACCTTGCTCTTCAAAGCTCTTCCATACCCTTCCTACCCACGAATCATTCTTCTCTGCCATGGAAAACCTACAGACTCCTGCCCTGCGGAGCGAGGGTAGCCTGGCACAGCCCTGCACTGCCCCCTACTAGCTCTGTGACTTTGACCAAGACTCACTTCTCTGAGTCTCAGTTTCCAGACCGACATTTCTAGGGCCCAGCAGCGAGCCAGGAATGAACAGAGTGTCTCCAAACTCCGCCATGAGCTCCTGTCAGATGTGGAAGCCATAAATAATTCACTAGATAATTCCAAATGGTAGATGTGGTGCGGGCAATGAGGCCTCGAGCGCTGCAGGGGGAAGGATTTATAAGGCTCACTCTGGGCCCCAGGCGACACTGTTCTCAGTGTTCTCAGGAACTCCTGGCTTATGGCAACTCCAAATGACGGCCCTGGGACCCTCTGCCTCTGCTGTTCATTTCTCTAAGTGCCAGGGAGATGCAAGAGTGTGGCTGGGAAGCACTTGGAACATAAGGAAGGGGGATATTTGAGCATTTCCCAGTGGGGGTGGCTGAGCGTGTGGGACTGGGGGTGCAGTAGCTGCCCCTGGCTCCCTCCAGTTTCCAAGCAGCCTCATCAGGTGCTCATGGTGGGTGTCTCAAGAAGCCACAGCCATAGAAAATATGATGTGATTTATGATGCACACGCCATAGCCCCTGAAATTCCAGAGGCAGCATGAGGCAGTGGGAGGGTGCAACAGGATTTAGAGTCTGAGGCCCTGGCTGTGGAGTCTTGATAAGTCCCATCATTTCATCCTTCCACCTCCCTTCTCTGTATTAGGAAAGCTGAATAAAGCTGCTCAGACTTCACAGGGCTGGGATGGAGGCAGATGATGCCCGTGGACTAACGTGCCTGTAGTAAACTGTAAAGTGGGAGATGAATGCATTGCTAAATTGGAGGTGGATGTTTTATGATTGCAAGCTGATCGTGTTGAGCTCTGTTACACTGAGCACAAGCTGGTGATGGCAACTGGAAGTGTCAGCCATTACGACCCAACATCTATATTCCTATCAGTGGGCACAGGAAGTCGAGTCCAGTGTTTTACGGCCGGAGGGCGAAGAACGCACCGTGATATTTATCGGCTAAGCGAATTACAAATGCATTGCTTGTCTTTGTTCCTGTTCCTGGAGAAGAAGGCTGACATCTGAAACATGCTTTCAGTCTGTTGAGGGGAATCTGAAGACCCGCCATCTATGGGGAATCGCAGGCCCCACTTCAAGCAGATGCTGCGTTTGCCGCTGAAGTTCACGCTGCCTTTGTATATTAATCTCTCAGAGATTTTTGTGTGAGAATAGCAGCAGCTGCTTCCCACAGTGGAAACATTCTGGAACAGCTGTATTTGAATACTAAAATGCACACAAACACTTAGGGTAACAGACCATTGGGGTGGGAGAAGACAATACGCCTATCTTTCTACAAGGCAGAAATTATGTGGGTTCTCACCCAAGTGTAATTTCCACTCACAGACTTTGGCCATGAGGAGTTTGCTACCCTCTGCTCTGTTCCCTGAATATTTGCAGAACTGTACTTCTGCACTTGATAGATCTGTTTCGTGAGACATGGAGCTAGACCAGAATTTCTCATATATCCTCAAACCACCTTTAAGGGTTTCTAAGGAGATCTGGTGGCAGAGTGGTAAGGGACTGCACTGCAATATCGAAGGCATGTGGTTCAAGTCCACCAGCAGCACCGCTGGAGAATGATGGGCAACCTCCTCCCATGTGATTAACTGCCTCTGAAAACCCTGCTGGACGGTCGGCCCTGACTCAACAGCACACAACAGCTTGAGAAAGCCTTGGTGGTTTAGTGGTAGGTAAGGAACTGTGCTGCCAACACAAAGGTCCACGGTTCAAATCCATCAGCGGCTCTGCGGGAGAAATTGGGCAATCTCTTCCCATATGACTTACTGCCTCTGAAAGCCCCTGGAGAGTCAGCTCTGGGCCGGTTCTGAATTGATGGTACAAAACAACAATGGTTTGAGATAAGGAAGCTCTGATGGCCTAATGGGTAAGGAGTTGCACTTGTAACCCAAAGACAAGTGGTCTGAATCCAATAGTTACCCCTTAAGAGAAAGATGGACCTACAACCAGGAGAAGATAAAGTAGATGAATGGGATCTTCTAAGAATCAAATTCCTGTGCACACCCAAAAACTTCTCCAACAAAGTGAAAAGGGAAGCCACCGACTGGGAAAAAGTATTTGGTAATAACATATCAGATAAGTGACTTATATCCAGAATTTATAAAATACTTGAGCACCACAACAAGATAAAGGTAAATAATCCAATAGAAAAATGGGCACAGGATATGACCAGGCACTTCACCGAAGACGACATTCAGATGGCTAACAAGCACACGAAGAAATGTTCAAACTCCCTAGCTCCAAGAGAGATGGAAATCAAAACAACTATGAGGTATCATCTCACCCCAATCAGAACAGCAAAATTTAACAGAACAGCAAGCAACAAATACTGGTGAGGTTGTGGAGAGACTGGAACCCTTATTCACTGCTGGTGGGAATGTAAAATGGTGCAACCACTGTGGAAGGTGGTATGGCGCTTTCTCAAAAAGTTGCAAATAGAGATCCAAATGGCGGCGGAGGCAGAGACAGCATGGTGAGCTGCGGGAGCAGCAAACCACTTAAAGCAGGGCCATTATGGCCTTCCACAGACTTCGGCTTATTGATAATTGAACACTTAAACAGTTAATGACTGGCCCTCAGTGAAGATCGAGGCTCAACAACAGGAATTCAAGGATTCCCAAGGAGAAATGGGTGAGTCTCGTGGCTCCCAAACTGCCCCCCACCCCTGCAGAGCCCACGCTGTGCTGCACAGCCGCTGCAGCTCCATGAGGCTTCCACAGCCGGAAGGAATGGATTCCCTCACCCAGGATGGATGCTGGGCACCAGCCCTCCTCAAGACTGGTACAGCGAAGCCACCACACTGCTGCAAGGTGGACTTGTTCTGGAGAGAA